AGGAGATCTGTGGTTAGTTCTCCAAGATGTTTGGAACAACCTACCTGCTGAGTTCCTTCAACAACTGTGTGCAAGTGTACCTAGAAGAATTGATGCTATTTTGAAGGCAAAGGATGGTCATACCAACTATTGATTTGATCTGAGTTTTTCTTCTCTTTGCTCACTTTGCATTTTGTAAATTGATAAACATAAACAGTTACAATAGATATTTTTGAAAGCGTTCTTACTTTACAGCATTTTTTCACACCTGCCTTTTACAACATTTTTTCACACCCACAACTTTTGCACAGAACTGTATTTCTTAGCTCAAAAAATGTTGCCTATGTCTACCCTTCCATACCAACTTCATAGCCAATATTCACCATTTAACCTTTTATAGACGGCACTTTTACATTAGCTGGATGATATGTAACTGTGAGAACAGTGCCAATCTTTTTGGAGACACATATCCCTTGAGAATTGTTTGCACTCAGAGAAGTTGAATGATTCAGATGAATTACCAGTTCCACACTGCAGCAATGGCAGCTTCCGCCATCTTATGTCTTGGACTATTTATCCTTCCAAGAGATGGGCAGTCTCCTTGTAACAGGAGCCCCAGCCTTCCATCTGAAGCTCAACATTTGTTATTGAAAAGTTTTAACAGCTCATTATGTTGGCTTTATATCCTTATTCTAACTACTTAGGCCCACAATCAAGAATAAACAAATTATTGAAACACTGTAGAGAATGCCAAGCAGCCAAACCTAATAAAAAATTAAGTGAGAATGGGAAGAACTCTAATAAATCTTGCTGACTTCATCCCCGTTCCTTGCAATACAGATAGGATTATTAAAGGCTGAGGATGCCAATAGCAGATCAGAGTTATTTACAAGTGGACATAAAGCAACTGCAAAATACATGATTTCTATGCATTTAGAAATAGGGCCAAAATAAAAATTATCCTATTTTTTTGTCTTCCAATCAGGTCTCATCCAGTTTCATCCAAGATAATTCATTTTAGATTTTTTTTTTCCCAACGAAAAAGAGAATTTCAGATAAATTCTCCTGGGTGAAGTTAGGTGTTCTTCCACTTAGTAAAGAGATGATCTGGGACTATGTGTGAAAATCCTCTCTTTTGCTGGACACTCATCTCTCCAGTGGTCTGAAGCTCTCATGGCTTCTGAATGCTTCAATTAAAACCCAACGAAAGAAACCATGAGGGAATTCATCCTTTTAATTTTTATCAGTAGTGGTGCTACCACTAATGTTAATATTAATGGAAAATACTGTCCTTGGAAAATGATTCCAGAATTTCTCCCTTGCTTGGAGAAATTTGGACAAATTATCTACCTAATGTTTTGCTTATAAATTGTGTTCAGTGATGCTTAGTACCAAATCTCCATAAAATTGATGACAATATACTCATGGTAATAATTGTGCAAATGCAAATAACATACACATTTTGGGGTTATGTAAATAACCACTGAGAGCCAGTTTGATGTAGTGGTTAAGGCATCAAGCTAAAAACTGGGAGACCCTGAGTTCCAGTCTTGCCTTAGGCACAAAGACAGCTGGGTGACCTTGGGCCAGTCACTCTCTTTCAGCCCTAGGAAGGAGGTAATGCCAAGCCATGTCTAGAATCTTGCTGAGAAAACTGCAGAGACTTGTCCAGGCAGTTGCCAGGAGTCAACACTGACTCAAAGACACATACACAAAAATTACTACTACCATCTTTAGCAGTCTCAGGATTCTGGTGGGAAGTGCTATAGTGCTGAAAAGGCTTGCCTCTCTGAAGTTATTTATGTTCCATTGGAAGCCTCTGCTGATTCAGTGAGAGCCTCTCCTGAAATCCACATAACAGCTTTGGACTGATGTTCCTTCTCAAGATTGTGGCAGGGAGAGAAATAATTATACACATCCTATCCAACCTAATTCCATAAGCACCAGCAGCACTGATTGTCTAGGGATTCTTGAGGCTTAATGTTTACCTAATTTAAAAAGTGCCTGTTGATTGCTTTCACCTAATTAATGTTTTGTCTAATTTACTCTTGTAATCCTAAATACATTGTCCTGAAAGTACACCCACTGAACTAAAAGGGAGTTATTTCTGAATAGATTCCATAGTACATAGAGGTTCTGAGATAAATGTTCTCTGGATTTTATACTATTTTATGTTATTAGAATAAAACAGCCAATAAACATACAGTACTGTATTCCCATAAAGGGTTGTGGAAAAGGATGGAGCAATAATATTTATCTTTCTGCTAATAAAATATTAAACATCTTATCAGTTCAACCCTGCTGAGAGCATGCTTGCATGGGAAAGACAGTACAGGTAGTCCTCACTTAGCGGCTGCAATTGGGACTCACAACTCTGTTACTAACCCCCGTGGTCACTAAGCAGAAAATCACGTGACTGCAACAGGCTCACAACTTGCTTGTCAGAAGTTGGTTGTGAAGCACACAAATGGCAATCACATGACCGCAGGATGCTGCGACAGTCGTAAATGTGAGGATTCTGGGTTTTTTTATACTGTTGTAACTTTGAATG